ATTGTATATTCGTTATATACCACATATTAAAGACTATTTATTCCAGACATACTTACTATATACATATATATAAAAACCTTATATAGACTCAAATGTATAGAAATATCTACATATATATGTATATGTATAAACCTTTTAAGCAAAACTTTTGCTGTAGCTCTAAGCTGAGACTTGTCTGCCTGCTCCTCTCTCCATACTTACATCTACTATTCCTATACATTTTTACATACATACATATATATATATATCTATCAATAGCTACATCTATTGTATATTTCTCTCAGTTATTTGCTTCAACAATTTTTGGTTCAGCGATTTTTTGCGATTTTATTTCATTTGTTGTTATTTTTATTTTTTTATTTTATTGTTTTGTTGTTTTGATACTGCCATCTTCTTCTTCTTCTTCTTCTACTTCAGCTTCTTCTTATTGCKCTGCTCTTCATCTTCTTCTTCTTGAATTTTTATTGTATTTTATTTGTTGTCTCGCTCTTCTGCCTTGTTATTTTTTTCGTTTTTTTTTTTCCGTTTTGCTTGAAGCTCGTTTGCCATCTCTTTTGCTTTCCGCCCCGCACCATTCACCGTTTTATTTCCAGTTGCCGTTGCTCTGCTTTACTATTTCTCTGCTGCTGCCGCTGCTGCTGCTGCTTCTTCCTCGTGTGTTGTTGTTTTTTTTTCTTCGTCTGATTGCCATTGTCACTGCGAGCCACGACTCCGACACATGTGCAGCTGCCTACGTCTGTGTGCGTGCGTGCGTGTGTGTGTGTGTGCCTGGCACTTGCTTCTGATTGGACACAACACACACGCACACAGCCGCAAAACAGTTGCGACACATGCACACACACACACACACACACACACACACACACTTGCAGAGCGAGCTTGAGCGCTTGGCCATTTCGTAGGCTCCACCCACCGCACATAGCGGAACATGTACACAAATACATACACACCCACATGTGTGTGGCTGTGTGTGTGCGTGTGTGTGTGTATACGTTATTTTAGGTATATAAGCCAAATATATACACTCCCACTGACAGCTTGTCGCCCACACAATGGTCATATGTGCGCTCCTCTGTATGTATGTATGTAAGTGTGTGTGTGTGTGTGTGTGTGTGTGTTTGGTTAGCTGCGTCAATAGAACAGATAAATCGATTTCATTTTGGCTCTCAGCGTTCGTTTGCTTCTGCTGCTTCGTCTTGTTGTTGTTGTTGCATTTGAAGCTGCAAAAATTTTACCATTGCATAACACTGGGCGCTGTCTCTCACACTCCAGCTCTCCCTCTCCCTCTCCCTCTCTCGCGCTCTGTGTGGCCAGCCACGCCCACCTTTTGGCATAGCACTAATTTAGCATTCCGTTGCCACAGTCAAGTGAAGCACAGACACGAAGCTTGCAGCTTAATGCGATCAAAGCATCTTAGCCGAAAGTACACTGAAAAAAAAGTCAATGTCGTATCAGTATATGAGTTTTATTACAGTTAGATACCGATAGAAAATTATTGAATGGGGCTTATGAACAAAGTGTCTTGCATTTGGAGCTGAGTTTAGTTTCTGAGAGATCCTAGAGGATTTCATTCTATCCGTTTGTCTATCTATCAGCTTATTCGCCTATCTATCCATTTCTCTGTCCATTTATCCATTCGTCTATGCCTTTACTCGTCTATTCATCTGTCTCTCTGCTTGGACGTCTCTCTGTCTGTTTTTTCGCCCATCTGTCTGTCTCTCCGTGCTTCTACCCATCTGTCCGCTCGTACATTTACTCGCTTGTCTCTGCTTCCGTCCGTCTGGGTGTTCGTCTAAGGTTCCGCCGAATTCTCCGTCCGTCTGTTTGTTTCTCAGTTCTTGCTCCCGTCCATCCGTTCGCCATTTTGCCCGTACTTTTGATCCTCCTTTCGACCCATGACATTCTACTACTAACATTCTGTCCGTTCATCCGCCTAGTTGCCCGTATTTCTGATCGTTTATCCGACTATTTGTATTTGTTTTTCTCTCTATTCATCCATCCATCCGTCCGTCCGTCCGTCCGTCTACCCATCTGTGTTTCTTCTTTGCATTACAACTTATTGCTAGACGATTTCTCGCAGTGCATTTGGCAGCTGTGACCAGATAATACCGGCAGAGAAACTTCAAAAGCGCACGGAAATGATTTCATTACCAGACACGTTCCAGCCGCATCACGTGGCCAGCGAAAGGCGTCTAAAACAAGGCTGATGGGCGTGGCAGGTAGAGCACCAGAATTGAGGGGGATGGCGAAAGGGACGGGGGGGGGGGGCGGTTGGCTGTAAAGTGTGTGCGAAAACTCTTAACGTGAGCGTCACGTACGCAGCGCGCTTTTATTAAGCTGCAAGAGGGAGCGAGAGAGAGAGAGAGGGAGAGGGAGACCAGGGGGGGAGTGAGCGTTAGGCATTGATTACCAATTCAGCGGTCATCTAATCACGGCTCGGCCAGGTTGCCGAACGTGCCGCATGGGGCAGCAGCGGCAGCGGCAGCGGCGGCGGCGGCCAAAAAATGCGTCAGCTAATTAAAACGTACTAAAGCAGACGCTGACGTGTCTTCGCCTCTCTCTCTACCTCTCTCTCTCACCCTCTCTCTCTTTGTATGTGTGGCATACTTTCAGCTGGCGCAATTTATGAACCATAATTTCTATAAGCCAAACAACCCCCGCACTTAACTTTCCCCCTTTATTTTGCTCGCGCCCCTCTCGCGCTCTCTCTCCCTCCCCCCTCCCTCTCTTTCACTCGCTCACTCTGCTCGGAGGCTAAAGCGACAAATGCGCCAGCAATTTAGTTAATTGCCTGCAATTATCCTAATGAGCGCCTTGCCTGAGCGCCAATGTCAGCTGCCCCGCCTCTCGCCCCGCCAGCCCCCCTCCGTTCGCACTTTCATAAATTGTC